ACAATTCTCATCTTATTGTTAAAGATCCCTCTGAAATCAGAGGATCATGAAAAAAATGATTTATGTTTTATTTCTGAGAGGCAGAAATAGAGACTGAATGCTAAACTTCTAGTTCTAAAGGCCCAGACAAGTTGAAGACGTCCTGGAGCAGGAAGTAAGAACCAGGGTTTACAAACCAGGAATAAATCACGTCTTCTAAATAAATGACAGGAGCAGTATTACTCAAGCCACCAGCTGTGTCTGCCAGGCTCTAATGTGCATGTGCTGAGAGCTTCTGTCAGGATCCAGGATAGGAGATCAAATCCATGTAGTCCCATGTGGGACCCAGGCGTCTTCCTGGACAACTTAATTGCTAATACACAAGGCATAGAAAAGAATCTTTTATTAAGATCTGTTTCATTTTGAAAGAGATTTATAGAGAGAAGGATAGATAGACAGATCTCCCCATCCAATGGTTCACTTTCTACATGGTCATGGTGACAGGAGCTGAGCTGTTCTGAAGTCAGGATCCCAAAGCTTCTTCCTAAGCTTCCGACACGGATGCAAGACTCGATGTCTTGAACCATCCTCTGATTTTCCAGTCCATAAGCAGAGAAATGGGTTGCAAAGAGAGCCCTAGGAGAACGGGCACTCAGATTGGATGCTCACATGCAAACATAGAATGAGCCTGTTACATCACCATGTCTGCTGCATAGTACAGGCTCTTTTAGAATTTCTTGGAATTTAAAAATGAGAGTGACACAATGTTTTTACACACTCTGTGTGTGTGAAAAAGCATTTGGTAGGATGGCTATGGGTCTCCCAACACTCATACGCCTCCCTGTGTTTGTTAGCTGTGAAGGACTGCAGAGAGGCCCAAAGACGGAAGGGAGTGTAGCAGCAAACCATGTTTGCAAAGCCCTTGAAAATCCCTGCATATAGATCTGAACGTGGGAATTGGAGTCTCTTTTTATGAGCCAACATTGTGGGAGAGACTTTCTTGATCAGAGCAGCTGGTAAAATGTATAGCTCATTGGGAAAAGACTATTAACCACTGATATTCACTCATGTATTTGTACATAGAAGTCTATGCAATAAGGGAAGTAAGTATGGCAAGTGCTGCCATCTTGTTGATAATGATTGTGTCTATACAAAAGGCACAAAATCTAGCTGGCCTCAAGGCAGGCATTAGAAGGCCTTATGTTGTTTTCAATGAACGTAACAGACGTCATCACCATGCAGTGTCCTGAGGGATCTATGCTTTCCAAGCTGGGTAACGGATTTCTGTTTCACTTTCTCTTTACTTTGGAAACATCCTCTGCTTGGGTACCTTCCTTATGCAGTGTCTCTCCAAAGAGATTACACACGATGCTCACTCATAGCATCGAGCTTTCGTCCATGCAGAAGCCCCAGGGAAGCCTGAGTTGCCTCTTATTAGTGCAGTGCCCACACTGATAAATGGGTATATTTGCTTATACTTACCATCATCAGCCTGATGTAAATGGAGATTCTTCTCTGCCTAGGCCATGAAAATCCGTACGCAATTCAAGCACACTACCACCAAGCTTCACTCCATCAGCAAGCACTGGGGAAGCCCACGTCTCCCTGCAGCCTTCTGGAGTCCATCCCAGAGATTTTAGCAGATGGAAAATTGCAATTTATCCTTAAATGCCGAAACAAGACAAGACCCCAGGTTGGAGGCGGTGCAATGGCCTACCCTCAGCACACATTTGCATTCCTGAGAACAAATTCAGAACACAAAGGTATTCTAACCCCAAGCTATTCCCTACATGGAAGGATGAGCGTGTAGATACAAGGATCCAGTACCTGCCCAGAACCAGCATCAGACAAATGGTTTGAAATCAGAATCCAGCTTCGTTTTAGGATTTTGCTTGTTCTTCTAGTGTTAGAATTTCTGTCAGCTCTTGATGTCCTGTGCATTTTCCCCATAAAATTCAGCGTGCACAAAACGTGTAACTCCAGAGAACAGCTTCTGAGTAGTGGACTTAAGAGCAGAGTGAGTTAAGATGCGCCCTGCAGTGCTGGTATCCCCGATGGTAGTACCAGGTTGACTCCCAGCTGCTCCCACTATAACAGACCTTCCTGGCAATGTGCCTGAGATGGCAGCAGAAGGTTACCCAGTACTTGGGCCTCTGCCTTCAATTTGGGAGACTCAGAGTTCCCATCTTCAACCACATCCCTCAATGTGGCCATTTGACGAGTGAATGAGTGAATTGAAGATCTCTTTGTGTGTCCTTATGCATCGCAAATAGATTTTTACCAGAAAGCATATTGCTTCTGAAGGCCTGAGAAATGATAACTTCCCACTCCAGATCTTCCAGGGGAAGACGAATGAGGGTTAAAAGTGTTGGGATTGAATTCAGATCGGTTATGCTTGGGCTAAAGTGACTGTGGACAGGGTCTTTGCTAAATTGATCTATTCTTTATACCCACAGCATATTGCCTTTTCTCAAGCTTCAGATGTAGGTCTGCACTAGACAAAGACTGAGGCAGTTCAGAGAACTTTGAGGTTCTTCCCATTTCCCCGTTACTGTTACTGATAAAATTTTCTCTAAAGAACATTAATCAATAAAATGGAAAATATTTTGGCAAGGATACAATAATTTCCACTCACAGTAGTATTATTGTTGATCTATTCTGTGAGTTGTTCCAAAACCTGTATATATTATTAAAAAATTTATGAAACTCTAAAATATGATTTTGGTTTTTATGTAATGATATTCTATGTCAATATTCCTCTTCTGCAACATTGCAGATATTGGTTTTATTAGACATCTATAACTTTCAGCAATGTTCAGTATTCCTGATGTGATCCCATTGAATTATGTGACATTTCTCATATTAAATGGGCCCTGCTTCCATTGGTCACAGTAGCAGCATAAACTCTCACACTACATAATTTAGTTGATGAAAGCCTCAAGTAAACATTGAAAATACTGTTTTTGAGAAAGCACAGGATGTAATGGTATTCTTCTCTTAGCCTTTTGTTTCTATGTAATTCGGATATATAGATTTCACGTGAAAGCACAGAACATTCTGCTTCAGCGCATAGTACAAATAAGTAATGGGCTATGTCTTCGTCGTTATAGAGACAATGTAATCAAGTGAGTAACAGGAACACCAGGTTGCACACAAGTTAGGCTGTACTTTTCTGACTTAAAATTTTGAACATGACAATATGCAGAATCAGGTTTCTGGATTTAAGACTGTATTTACTACTTTTTAAAATGATGGAACTGTGAATGCTTGGCCTTGGTTTGCTCTGACTTCATGCCCATATGAAAGCTACTATCACAGAAAGAGTGAAGATGGAGTCTCCATTGGTGGCAGGGAGCCTGATGTCTGACTGCTTAGGTCATCTTATGAAACAACAACAACAAAATCATCCAATGATTTGATGAATCAAGTGAGCTCTCACCTTGAGGAGCACATCACGTTACACAGTGCAGTGAGATTCAAATAGCACCGTTCTTGTACAAGTGGATTGACCCTGAAAATTGAAGATTTGAGGAACTGGGCAGATGAAGTGGCATACCTGGAGCTCATCTTGGCTTCCTCTCTGATTCAGAAGCATGACAATTGCTCTCCTGTTATATCTGATGGGGATGCATTCAGGGGCCCAGGAATGTCAAAGAATGGCCAACAAAAGACACTTGGAGGAATGTCACCCGTCTATGTCACACCCACTTGGCTCTTCTGGTATCTTTTTCAATACTAGGAGTAAGTTGCTCATTTAAGGAAAACATTTAGTTGCCTCATGACCAAAACATGAATAGCTGAGTAGACATTTAAAACTCACGTTTTGCTAGTGATCTTATCTGTGGGAAATTTTTTTAGCATGCACTTGGTAGAGCTTGATGAGTAGTAAAAAATCTAGTCTGTGTAGCTTGCCACTCTAAGAGGAAACTAGATTACCCAGGAAGCAACCTGAGCTTTGCGATCCTGTAGAGCGAGAGAGGCAGATGCTGACTGAGTTAAGTCAGGGACCTTGTGACATGAAGTGCAGATCTCTTTGAGTGGAGTTAATTGACAGTGATTTGGTGTACCAAACAGGAAATCTCAGAGGGAAAGATATTATAGTATGAAAATAGACTATGAGAATATACTTGATTTGAATTTGAACTTGAACTACTTTTTTTTAACTTTTCAAGTGAGATCTGACTCCTGAATCCACTGCTTAGACTTAACAGAATGTGCATACAATCCAATGCAGGGTGTTCATGATTCCAAGGCAAAAACTGCCTGAGAAGTATCACTGCCGGAAGAATTGAGCCTGAAAAATATCCTCAACTATCTGAATTTAACTTTCAGTAGATTACTGAATTTAGGAGATGAAACACAAAGAGCAAGGCACACAGAGATAGAAGCTTCCTGTCCTTTTCCACACTCCATAAATGTCATGATTGTGCCCGGGCCAGGGTCAGGGTCAGGGCCGGAAGCTGGAATCTTATCCATGTCTCCCCTGTGAGAGGCGGATCAGGTTCAGGCCAGGGTCAGGGTCAGGGCCAGAAGCTGGGATCTTATCCATGTAACCCCTGTGAGAGGCGGGTCAGGTTCAGGCCAGGGTCAGGGTCAGGGTCAGGGCCAGAAGCTGGGATCTTATCCATGTAACCCCTGTGAGAGGCAGGACTGGAACTGGAATTTGGGGACTTATTCATGTTGTCCTTGCCAGAAGCAGGAACTTCATTTTGTTAGCCAGGGCCTAGATTTGTAAGAAGTTGGAATTGGAACCTGGAGGACATCAGACTCAGGTACTCTGATAAGGGCTTCAGGCATCTTATTCAGTAAACACTTGCCTGGCACCTTACAGATAATTTGGAGGAAAATGCATAATGTCACACGGATGCAACTAGCTAATTTCATATGGTAAAAATTTGTATGTGGAAAGAAATCTATGTTTTTTTTTTTCTAAATCTGACCCCTAAAAATCTGTCAAATGGAAAATGTAAAGAGAATCTGTCATTGATAGCATACATGTAATAATTTTACTTTCTCCTCAGGATTTTTAAGAAATTGTATGTCTTGCTGGGGTGTTACAGCAGACCAGAACGACCTGTCCCAGGACACTGACTGTTATGCACAGCCAAACGGGCTGGAATTGGAAGACCTTACAGCAGTCACTTTGGTAGGTGTCATTATGATCTTCTGCAGGCCTCCTGAGCACTGAGCATCCTGAGGGGTTAAGTGTCCTCATTCAACTCTGCTTCAGATGTGGCAATCATTTGTCAGCCCCTGGCTTTGGCTGACAGGTTCTCTTATTATGACCTCAAAAACAAGCACAGTCTGATTACAAATTACAGTCTTACTTAAAACACAACAGGAAAAATGCTGGTCTATTTCACTGGTTTCAGCAGTGTCATCCAGTGACTTGCTCACTGGTGTCAGAAAGGCACGTCTGTTTCACTGGTTGCAGCAGTGTCACCCGGTCACTTGCTCACTGGTGTCAGAAAGGCACGTCTGTTTCACTGGTTTCAGCAGTGTCACCCGGTCACTTGCTCACTGATGTCAGAAAGGCACGCGTCTGATTCCCTGTGAGTCCACGTCCCTCATTTGCAGCCTCTTGCTGGAAGTGTTCCTCTACTCCCTTTGTCTGGATGACTTAGACTTCTCACACAACCTCTCTCACGGGAGTTTGATTTGTATTTCAAATGCTTAAACACGTTATTCTCAAATGCATTCATACTTGTATCATAAGAGAATGTGTTGAATAAAGGCCACAGAACTTGGCCTTTGTTATTTCCAACAAGGATTTTTAATAGCATGCAAACTGGTTGATTGCCCAGTGTATCTGTTTGCACTCTCCTATACATAAGAGATGTCTCATGGGTGGGAAGGAATTTATCAGGCTAGGTCCTTCTTGGACGTTCTCCCAGACCTTACTCCATTCACAAGTTCAAGGAGCTCCCAGGGTCCTCATCAAGATGATGTCATCACTGGGTGAAAAAGTATCAGTAAGATAATACATTATGTTGCAGGCATGAAATATAAAGAGCCTAATAAATGACAAATTCCCGGGGATATTTGCAAAAACGCGTCTTGCTCTATTGACATTAAGATGAAGTGGAAGTCTGGCATAATGGGCAGTCAGGCATTCTGTCATAAGTGGACTTTCACCCTGGTTTTAGATGAGTGTAGACAACCACAGAATGTAAGAATGCAGCTCACAGTTATTTAGATAAGGATGGGCTGATGTCAATAACAGTGGCAATGATGTCTTCCTAGTTGGGAAAACAGGTTTTTGGAAATAGTAACAGCAGGGTAGACAGTAGAGATTGATTCACTGAAAGCTTGAAGAAGAAAACTTTGTTTTAAAAGTTTGGTTTCTTGGAAGAGGAAAATGAGGTGAAACTCAGCATTCAAAGTGTATGGGCACAGATTAGATGGATGACTGGAAAATGTATTTAGAGGCACTGAAACAGATTTCCTTTTTTCCCATCAATCAGCTTTTGCTATGTTGGTTCACGCGCTGTATTGGTTTCTCCACAGATGTAGTTCATGTTCTGGGCTGGTGGCTGTGAAACGTCCTGTAATTTGTTTACTTTTTATTTCTTGCAGGAGATGCTTCACTATTTAAAGCAAAAAGGGCCATCAACAAAGGGTATTTTTCAAAACATTGACAATATAAAGTCATTTCTATGTCTAAAGGAAAAAATTATGTTTGGATATATATTAAATTGTGAGAATGAGTCTCCACTTGTCGTGGCAGCCGCATTAAAGGTAGGGGGAGTTCTGTTGTCATCAATGCATAGTATGAAATCTCTGTGATGGGTTTCATTTATGCTGGCACTTCAAGAACAGTAACAGGCCAAGCGTTTAAGCATCCAAGAAACTGAAAAACACATTGGAAATTCCAAATTGTAGGTAACTACTCTCTCTTTTGGACAAATTCTGCATGTGAAACAGGCTTTTCTAGGTTTCAAAATCCACTCCCACTGTCTTCCTCTGAATAATGCTATCATAGTTTCTAATACTTACAGAAGAGCCTTCCAAATTGTTTTTATTCAACCAGAATGTTGGCCAAAGCAGTCCTGCACTTGTTGAGCCTGACAGCATCTTCCTTATGACATCAAAGTTTACTAAAGATATCTCATTGGGAACTGCTGAAAACCACTTTATCAGTTTTCTACATTAAGCAAATGTCTACTTCAAAATGAATTAAAATGCACACAGAAGCAAAGACGAGGTCCATTGATCTCATGCTACTTTCCCAATCTCTTAAGTCCTTGCCACTCACTCGGGAGGCAAGAATAAAGCTCTTGGCGTTTGGCTTCAGCCTTGACCTGAACTTGATACTTTAGTATTATAGTCATTAGTCCATGCATGCTCTCGCTTTCTGCCTCCCTCCATCTTCCTTTTCCATCACTGCTCCTGACTCTCTCTCTCTCTCTCTATGTGTGTATTTGTCTATGTGTCTCCTTCTCTCTGTCTCTGACCACTGAGAAAAAATTTCTAAAGACTCAAATTTGAGGACAGACTTGTTTCCTGGAGCAACTACCACTTGCAATAGCAGCGTTGTCTATGGTTCTAATCGTAGCTGTCCCACTTTCCACTCATCTCCCTGTTGATGACTTTGGGAAGCAGTGAAAGATGGCTCAAGAGAATGGGCCTCTGCACCCAGGTGAGAGACTCAGATGAGTTTCCTGGATCCTGGGTTTGATCTGGCCAATCCCTGATTTTTGCTGTCATCTGGGGAGTGAACCAGCAAATGGAAAACTCTGTCTCTGTAATTTTCCATGTCAGATAAATACATGTTTTTTTCAAAAGCTAAACTGATATAAAATATGCATTTAAAAGTATGCAATGGAGTTACAAGTATTGCGGATTTCTACAGGGATATAATGAAACCACACAAAAGGAATTGTTGGTAATTTTAGCCATTGTGAAACAAAAACCTGTTAATTTCATAATAACACATATAAAATTTTGGGAAACTCATTATCCTTGCCTCTTTGTTGCCACCCTGCCCCCCCCCAATAATGCCATATGACAAGTAGAAACATTTCTGTAGTGTCATGTAAGCCATCAGCACTATGCTGAGATCATGACAATACAGTCTAGGTTGGGCAATCGCAAGTTTCACCACCCTCTTTAACACACAGATGCAATATTGATGCTACAGTTTTTTGAAAGGTGGCATTTAACCTTCTGGAAATGTTGCAGTGTGACTCTGGATAAATACGATGTGAATCACCTGGAGAGTTGGTCCAGACTACAAATAAATGCAAACACCAGATTGAATTTGCCTTTGAGCAACCTAGAAGTAGAGGTGCAGTTGCAAATTTCTGTGTTCCCCTTGGATCATTGTGTGGCTTTCATAACATACCACATCTATTAACTTTGAAGCCCAAGGAAGCCGAGAGGGAATACCTATCCTGCATTCATGGAAATGCAATACGCAGCAGATCAAGAACCTCCCAAATCAACTCATTTCCAGTGATTCAGAGCTGGAGAGTTCCTCTCACAGACACTTGGGTCACTTCTTGGGAAACAGGGAAAGAATCTATCTGCCAGGTGACTTCATTGCACACCGATGACACAGTCAAGATATAAAAGGACTTGCAATTTCTCTCTTTATACTGTTCCTAGTAGTACAAACTGTGTATGGAATAAACAGCCATCAAGACAATGAACACGAATGAACAGTGACTAGATTATAAGCCCCAAAGTACTGGGAGGCATTTACTACACTCAGGGCCATCCAAAAATGGCATTGGTCCTCTAGTGAGACCAATGCAAAGAAAGCTGCCTAGGTGATATGACCAGGAAATACAAATCCCACCATATATTTAACACCACAAGCTATTTTATTTATACAAAGTTGAACACCTTTCACATATTTAACAATATTAATTTCAAAGCCTAGGGAAAATTCCAACCTCCAGTTCCTCCTACTTGCATCCTTACCCTCATCATCCTTAGTTCTTAATAAATGTTTGTACTGTCATATTTTAGCTTTCTTTGCAGTCGTAAGTTAACACTTAATAGGTAAACAAAGTAGAAGAAAACCCGTTTTTCTTCAAGAATACTTGCAAAATCTATAAACAATAGTCAAGCATCAAAATGTCAGTGTTGCTCACATAGGTTAGAGCTTTTCTGTACTTTGTGTATTAGTTATCCTAAGACCATGGAAAACATATTTATCTTGTTTTGGCCTGGCTAATTTCGCTAGGTGCAATGGTTTCTAGTTTAATGCATCTTTCTATTGTTTTTAATGTCTGAGAAGGATTCCATTGTTTAAGATTTGGCTAATTAGGCAGTGAGAAAGAGGAAAGTGAGTGTATTTGGCGAGTTTATTGCTGAGGGACATGCACGAGTCCAATCAGAACAGATCCTCACTTAATTTTGCATGTGAGCGATGTGTTGTTTGACTTTGATTCACTTGGTTCACAAATTTTGCTGCTGAGATATAAAGGACTAGGTCTGAAATCAACATTTAAGGTACACATTGTTTATTGTACGCATGTGTTATCATTAACACATGTTCTCAGTTTGGCAGTATGGTTTAGGCTGATGGATACTAGTTTGCTAAAATATGCACAAAGATATATATCTCTATCTATCTATCTATTTATCTATCGTTTCAAGGGGAATAAAGCCTCACTTGTAGTCTCTGTCTGTCTCTGTTACTCTATTCTTCAAATATTCATCTTTTCATCTTTCATTAACATACACACAAGGACAAACATTTGCATCTGCACACACACATCATCATCATTGTTACTATACGCTAGTTCACTCCCCAACTGACCACAATGGACTGTGCTGGACTGGGTTGGGCCAGGCTAATGCCTGGATCCCAGAACTCCATCTAAGTCTCCAATGTGTCAGGAGCCCAGGCAATTGGACAATTATCCATTGCTCTCCCAGGCACGTTAGTAAGGAGCAGCCAGAGATTGTACTGGTCCTCTGATGGGGATCACTGACTTTCTTTGTTAGCAGCAATTTAGCATGCTGCCATAGCTGTGTCCCAAAGAAGAATATTTAGACAATTAGGTATTTTTTGCCTCCCAGAATTTCCAAGACACTGGTTTTACCCATCTCATTGCAGAAGAAATTGAAGCATCCATTTTTGCAAATACACATTGGTGTAAATGGCAGCTTAAGCTTTATGGAGGTCACGGTTTGAGTTTCTAGAAAGGGTTATTGGATATTACAGTGAAATGTAATTTGTCATCAAATTTTTATGACTTTTGTTTAAATTTTTGTAAGGATTGTCTTCGAATAATCCCTGGTACTCTTTTTACAACGGAACTCTATGATAAATGGCTTCGTGTTCTTGATGAGGATGAGGAGAAAGTCACAGAAATCAAAAGGTGATTATATAATTAACATCTAATCCAGACATGCTTCCAACTATAGTCAACACAGCTTGAGGAAGACAGTAGCTTCTGCTTTAGAATGTTAACCACAACAAGCATGAGCACCGTGAAGGGGTTCAAGTAGTCACACACACAAAGATCAGAATCAGAAGAGAGGTAGACTTCAGCACACCCACTGAGTGTTGGTATGGAGTTATTGACCATCGGGCACTTCCTGAATGTCATATTGATGGAGCAGAAACTCGCTGATCCCAGAGACATGCCGTAAGAACAGTTCTTTGTTGCTCTCACTGGCAACCTGTCAATGCTAATTACATGGAAAACTATGTATACTTAAAGAGTTGACATCAAACAAGCACTTTTGCTTGGATTCATACCTTAAATGTGTTTTGCTTCATTGTTTGACTATTGCCTTGAGACATCATTCCTTCACTTTACCTTATAAGGTAAAATGTAAGTCACATGCTGTTAAATTTCCTCAGTAAACTTTTATTTTTTTTTTCACACATTCTGAAGTGAAACAACCAATTTTAAGACTTGTGTAAATTGGATATTCACAAAGTTGTTCAAGTGAAAATACGTTGTGATTTTAACCTCCTTCCCGGGAAAAAACCCACTGATATTATTAAGCACTGCTTCTCCATTTGTCTGTATTTTTATTAAGAAAATGGAATTTGAAATATTCTATTCACTATCTCTGTTTCTATTGCTTCAGCATGGAAGTGACTGCACTTATTTTTGTGTGTGTGTGTATGTTTAGGCTCTTACAAAACCTGCCCGTATGTAACTTGGATATCCTCAGACAGTTATTTTCGTGTTTGCATGAGATTTCTAAACAAGCATCCTTCAACCTCATGAGCGCACCAAAGTTAGCTTTTTGCATCACAACAAGTATATTTCCGCTCTGGACATCTACATCAAATTTGGAAAGTGAATTACTTAAAAAGGTAATGAGGTGCCCCATTCCCATTGTGATGAACCAGTTTTTACAATGATAAGTGCCATATTCCTTTTTTCAATGTCAAGGTCACTTATTGTATGTTTGGAGTTGTGGGAGTGCATGGCAATAAGCCAGGATTGGAGAGCAGTGAATCACTTCTTTCCGATGCAGGAAACTGAAGCATGAGATGTTAATGCACAAGGAACAAACTTGTGTAGCATTAGAGAAGGAAATGTAAGGGTTTTGGTCATGGTCAATCCGAGATGCACTTCCAGCAGTCATCATTGAGGACCGTGCACACCTGAACCAATGTTTCCTTATCAAGCCTTCTCAGCTGAGTAGTGTCAGTAGTGTTAACGACACTATCCTCAGATCAGCAGTGACACGGCCTGTTCAAAATGAACAAATATATTCCCCTACTCAGTGACCCTTCCTATAGATCACTCTGTGAAATGCCACTTTCCATCTTACCTATGCTACTGGAATGAAACTGAGTCAGTTTTAAAGCGTCCTAATAGACCCAAATGTCTCCAGTACAATGACAGCTCTTATCAAGCTGACATAGACGTAACACTAGAGTGAAGCAGAGCAGTGGTTGTGGAGGGAATTGCAGCTAAACAAACAGACATTTCCTTTGTAGTTGACTCCATTCTTGTCAAAAGATCCACAAAAACCTCTGCTTCCCAAGTTTAATGTAACACATGTTTTCTTCTGTTGAATACTTCACCAGTTATATGAAAGAGCATACCATCACCTCAAACATCCTATATAGACTCAGAAAAGGAAAGGCAGAACAGATTCCAGAGATAGTGAGACAGACAGATGTTTGATCTGCTGGTTTACTCCCCACATGGCTGCAACGGCTAAAGCTGAGCTGATCCAAAGCCAGGGGCTTCTTCCAGCTCTCCCACATGGGCTTAGCGTCCCAAGGCTTTATGCCATCCTCTACTGCTTTCCCAGGCCACAAGCAAACAGCTGGAGCAAAGTGGAGCAGCCAGAATGTGAACCAGCACCAATATGAGATCCTGGCACATGTGAGGTGAGGATTTAGCCATTGAGCTATTGTGCCTAGCTCTTATATATAGACAATTGTGATATCTAAACAAAAAAGTTAAGAAAATATTAGCATTTTATTGCACTAGGACACAGAAAATATTGTTTTTCTGAGGGGCAGCATGTTTTGACACGTTACTATCTTTATTGAATTGTAGTTCAGGAGATAAAATTGGTTCATACGTGTTTATGTCAACTGTGAATTTTGTTTAGAATTTATATTTCATATTTTTGTAATGTCCAGTGTTCACATAGAATGCATGACTCATATTTGCAGGTGAAAAAGAGTACCCTATTTCTATCTTTTTGGGTCACAGATATCTATCGTTGAGTTTTTTATTGAAAACTATGCACGAATCTTTGAAGAACATAATGATTTGCTGCTTAGAAAGAGCTGGGAAAATCCCAGTACCAGCTTTGGGAGCAGCACTGAACAGGATAAAATTGTGTGGGAACCAGAAAACAGCACAGGTGAGAGCTCACTGAATTGGGATCACGGGGCAAACACGTCATATTTTGTACATAACTGAACTGGTTGTACTAAAAAACAAATAAGGCTTCCAAGGGTCATGGCAAACACTTAGATTTGCCCAAACCTTGAATAGACCTGATCTGTCTGTATAAGAGTGCCAAACATTCAGAGCCATTTCAATAATTAAGACAAAAGTGCAGCTGAGATAATGTCTTTGATTTGCAAACACCAACTCTTGCTTTTTTCAGAAACTTTTAAGTAAAACTTGAAAGTCAGGCTTGTTTTTTCCTCGGAAAAATTAACTCTGTGAATCATTTTTCAAAAATATGTGTTTCTATAGATCTATGATCATATTAAATCAGAAACCTCATGTAAGGCACCCTTGTATCATATCTGAATGCAATGTGCTTGTTTTCGGGGGATATGAATGAGTTCCATTCACCAACTGAATCCTCTCACAAACAATGTACAAGGGTAGATAACGCCGTGGAGACTCAGTTCAAAGCCAGACGCAGTGCAGAAAAAGACCCGCATGCGTCATGAGCAAACGTCTTCTCAGTCATTGACGAAAGCAAAGACACCCCTTCTTATGATTGTCTGAGGGCGTCCACATGTGCTTGGTGCTTCAGTACGTCTGGAAGACATTGCTAACTGGTGCTCAAATTATATGGCAATTTCAGATATAAAGTAATGGGTGAGGAAGAATCCATATGGAACCTAACCTAAAGTGCAGACAACCATCCTGGAATGTATAATTTCCACACTGCGTCAGAGAAAAAATGGCACATTCTGCATTCTTTCATTTTTTCAGTTTCAATATAGTGGAACTAGGAAATAGGAGGCTGTGTGTTATTGAAAGCAGATGGAAACTTGGGTGTGTTGTATGCTTGGGCTCAGGGGAACACTGCAAGCCCAAGGTGAACATGGAAATCATTATGTAATGTCTGTACCACACAGAATGAAGAGAGGGCCCAAATAATCACTATCAGAATTCATTTTTATGTTCACGATTATATCAGGGTCATAAAAATAATTGTTCATAAAAATGAAAACTAAACTTAAGGTGCAAAAACTACTCAGGTAGTGCAGAAGTCCCAAAGCTAGAAGTCCAAAAGCAAAACAGAGGCCACAGAGAAAAAATGCAAGGAAAACTAAGATTTTTCAGAAAAAAACTAGATATGGTGCCATTCTCCCATGCTACATGGTGGTGAGTATTAAGGGTGCCTCAAGCTCTGCAAGACACATGTTTAGTGCTGGGTGTTCATGGGGACACAGAGTGGCACCCAATTTCCGAAGGGAGAGCGCCAGAGCCTGTTTCTTTATGATATTCTAGGGGTGACGGCCAAAGGTCCAATGTGCCTGCATGACTACCCTAATTTGTAGCGCATTCAAGAGTGGGTGTTCTCAGACAAAACTCAATGTTGCAGAATGGCCCTTGTGTCCACTGACAGAGCAAGAATATTACCATCATATGTTCCTTCATTCCATCCTGTGGTTCCTTGGCTCCCCTAGGAACACCAAATGAGAACTTCCCTACAGGGCCCGATGCGGTGGCCTAGCAGCTGAAGTCCTCGCCTTAACTCACTGCAATTCCCTATGGGAGCTGGTTAATCCCGGCAGCTCCATTTTCCATCCGACTCCCTGCTTGTGGCCTGGGAAAGCAGTGAAGGATGGCCCAAAGCCTTGGGACCCTGCTGCTGCATGGGAGACCTAGAGGAAGTTCCTGGCTCCTGGCTTTGGATCGGCACAGCACCGGCCGATGGAGTCACTCGGAGAGTTAATCATTGGACAGAAGATCATCCTCTCTCTCTCCTCATCTCTGTACATCTGACTTTCCAATTAAAATAAATAAATATTTAAGGAAAAACTCCCCTACATTCTGAAACCTTTGCTCTCCCAATGCTTATCAGCTCCCTTTTCAAAGAGGAAGTACAAGTCTCAGCCAGAGTCAGAAACAGTCTGAATGAGAGGTGGACATGAAGCAGGGGTCTAGCTTGGTACTTGAAGCTGTCTCCCACCTAGGTCTCGTCTGCCTATGCATCATGTTGTCTTTATGGTGCCTCAGAATGCCAAAGGGAACCATAGTAGGAAAGTATGATGCCTACGTGCAGATTAATCTTGCCCCTGCATTAAAGGATGTGATTGGAGGCTATTACCTAACACACAAGCAGTCCCAAGTAGACAACCCTACTTCTAAGAACATGTTGAAAGGGACCAGTGCTTTGGCCCAGTCTAATAAACAGGTAGCCATGCCATTCACCCAGAAAGCAAGGCAATGACCTTTCCCAAGCGTGCTTCACACATCTCACGGATCTCAACTTTGGATATGGTGGCAGTAGGTATAAGAGACTGTGTGTTGCTGCTTGCCTGTGTCAAGTTGGGCGTGTTCCATGCCAATATGCACAGGTGAATCATTGATCTGTTTTTCTTTTCCTTCAGAATTGACATCGAACACCAGTCTGGATTCGGGCACGGATCCAGGTAAGGAGACAGAGCTGGGCTCCCAGGGGAACAGGAGGGGCCAATCCCGAGCTTGTTGTGTAGAACTTCAACTGTCTTCCTCTGCCCAGTGAGTGGCTGAACAGTGCCCATAACAATCTCTCTGAGAATTCCCTTTCATGTCCCCTACCAATCCAGGCCCTAACCTCGAAAGGCTCCCGTGTGCTGCAAGACAGCCTGAGTTGCGTCCATGCTTTGCACCAAGTCTTCCAGGGCACATGGGAGACATCCGTGTCCCAGTTGCGAGGCCCTCAGACACAATGTGCAAGGGCCCTTTCCTTTTCTCAGACACAATTCAGCTCAGGTGCCATTCTCCCGTGCTGGATGGTGGTGTGTGCTGGAGGGTGCCTCAAGCTCTGCCAGAAACGTGTTGTCCGTGCACATGTAAGGCAGGTTTTGTTTTGTGACTCTCCTCTGGAACACTGGCAAAGGCGAGTCCAGTGATTCCAGGCAGCCAGAGACCCGGGATGGCCAGCATGGCAAGCCTGAGCATGCCATGGGCCGACACTCTCGTGTACAGCCTGCATTCTGAGCACTCCAGAGGTCACTGAACTGAATTCTGATTCAATCACATAAAAAAATGGTTTCTCTAACATTCCTCTGTGCTATTGGTAACAGCAGCTTTTTTTTTTTAAATAAATTTTTTTATTTTGACAATCTTTACATTGTTAATTTGGGCAAAAAGGGTCAAGGGCTACAGGAAAGTGTGTAAGACTACTATTTCTATATTGTTTCCTTCATGTATCTGAGGTAAAGGGGGATATTGAGGGAGAAGCCCCACCCAGTTTCCCACCCACCCCAAGTCCTGCATGTGGGGCATGCTCTGAGATATTCGCTCAAGAGGTTTCAATAGTTCACCAGTTATGAATCGCTGCCAATCTTGCCTCTCCAAACACGATGAGGTCATTGAAAAATCCACTGATTGACATTGTCCATCATAGCGTCTCTATTTGCCCGGTATTTTGTTGCCAACCTATAGCTGAGGTGGTTGATTAACTTGTTCCATCTTCTGTCCTTTCATGGTTAGGGTTCTGAGTCTGGCATTTCAATTGGGGAGATCACCAAAGAAACTTCGTCTGAGGTGTTCCCAGGCCAGATTCTTGTATGCACCAGCAAGCACAGGGCCCAGCACAGTCCATCACCCTGGTCAGCTGGTAGTTGCAATTGCCGGGTTGGTTCTGTTTTCAGCCCCACCTTCTACTGGAACCAATGGGTGTTGCAGTCCAGCCTGGTTCTGCATAGCACATACTCGGTCTTCACCTAAACCAGTGGGAACCCGAAGGGAGCAGCCCTGGAGCCGGGAACAGCAACTTTTGAGGCCCTGTTGCCATACGGAAGCCACGGTGGCGGTGCCATTCTGCCTGGGATGGCTGGGACTGCTTGAGGGTCTCATGCTCAGGGGGCACTGGCTCAGGGCGACCCAATTCCTGCCCGCAGGCACTGGGAAATCTCCTGGCAGCACACTCCAAAGGCACTTGCCAAGACTCTCAGGATTCAACGTATCTCTTGTGAACCTTTGACTGTCTCCAAGAGGTCCATGCCAGGCTCTGGGGTCCACTGCTTGTCATTTGAAATGGCACATCTGAACGGTCATGGGCGTGGAGTTTGTGTAGCTCCCACAGCAGTCCATGTGTGCATTTGTGTCCACTCCTGTGCACCTCCCTGCCATTTTCTGTGGAGGTCTCAATCACCCTTAGGGCAAACACCATGGAGGGAGCCTGAGCTGGGTGGGGCAAATGTCCCATCTTGCTTATGGTCATGAGACGAGTGTGTTTCCTGAAAACCTCGTAAGTCAGCTTGGGGTGGTGTGTCTTAGCGTGGTGAAACAGCTTGTGCATGTGAGCCTGAGCTAGGGAGTGGGACTGCACCCAGTCTTTGACATAGGGGTGCATCAGCTGGGCTGTGGTGTCCATGGGCCCACCCTGCTCGGGTATCATTCTCTTCAGAGAGACTGGAGGGGATCGGTTAGCATGGCTTTCTGGCATTTTCTCCTTTCTACACTCCACTTCCTTGAAACACCATGCCAGTACCACGTTGCCACAACCTGCACTACCATCCTCCTGTGGTCAGGTGGCTCAGAGCTCACCAGGACAGAACAAATATTCCACCTCGAGAGCTGCCCATGTGTCATTGAATGCAAGATGGGGTCATCCTGTTTAGTGCTGAGTGTTCATGGGGACACAGAGTGGCACCCCTCTTCTGAAGGGAGAGTGCCAGAGCCTGTTTCTTTATGATATTCTAGGGATGACGGCCAAAGGTCTTGGCAAGTTGCAATGTGTCTGCATGACTTGACTAACTTGTAGTGTATCCAAGAGTGATTGTCCTCGGAGATGCAACTCAATGTTGTAGAATGGCCCTTGTGTCCACTGACAGAACAAGAGGCTTGCCATCATAGTCTGTTTACTTAGCTCCACTGGGGACACCAAATAAGAACTTCCCCACACTCTGGATCCTTTGCTCTCCTAATTCTGAGCATTTTCCGTTTTGGGGGGTGGGGGAGACACACATGCCACAGCCAGTGTCACAAACCAAGGTTGAAGGAGAGGTGGACATGAAGCAGGGGTCTAGCTTGGTACTTGAAGCTATCTTCCCAGTTATGTCTCCTCATCTGGCTGTGTATCATGTTGTTCTTAGTGTGTAAGGAATGGCCAAGAGTTTTTTTAGTATCAGAGAGTGATGCCTGGCTGAGATGTGTTTGGAGACTCTTACCTAACACACAAGCAGTCCCAAGTAGAGAGTCGTAAGCACACGTAAACGGGACCAGTGCTTTGGCCCAGTCTAATAAACAGGTAGCCATGCCATTCACCCAGAAAGCAAGGCAATGACCTTTCCCAAGCGTGCTTCACACATCTCACGGATCTCAACTTTGGATATGGTGGCAGTAGGTATAAGAGACTGTGTGTTGCTGCTTGCATGTGTCAAGTTGGGCGTGTTCCATGCCAATATGCACAGGTGAATCATTGATCTGTTTTTCTTTTCCTTCAGAATTGACATCGAACACCAGTCTGGATTCGGGCACGGATCCAGGTAAGGAGACAGAGCTGGGCTCCCAGGGGAACAGGAGGGGCCAATCCCGAGCTTGTTGTGTGGAACTTCAACTGTCTTCCTCTGCCCAGTGAGTGGCTGAACGGTGCCCATAACAATCTCTCTGAGAATTCCCTTTCATGTCCCCTACCATTGCAGGCCCTAACCTCGAAAGGCTCCCGTGTGCTGCAAGACGGCCTGAGTTGCGTCCATGCTTTGCACCAAGTCTTCCAGGGCACACGGGAGACGTCCATGTCCCAGTTGCGAGGCCCTCAGACACAATGTGCAAGGGCCCTTTCCTTTTCTCAGACACAATTCAGCTCAGGTGCCATTCTCCCGTGCTGGATGGGGGTGTGTGCTGGAGGGTGCCTCAAGCTCTGCCAGAAACGTGTTGTCCGTGCACATGGGGTTTTGTTTGGTGGCATGCTCTGTGGCCTTGGAACACACCTGCAGTGGACTCTGACGTCGGGAGCTCCAGTAAGGCAGGTTTTGTTTTGTGACTCTCCTCTGGAACACTGGTAAATGCGAGTCCAGTGATTCCAGGCAGCCGGAGACCCGGGATGGCCAGCATGGCAAGCCTGAGCATGCCATGGGCCGACACTCTCGTGTACAGCCTGCATTCTGAGCACTCCAGAGGTCACTGAACTGAATTGCTGATTCAAACACAGCAGACGTGATTTCTCTAACATTGTCTCCTAACGGTGGTTAGTTTCCTTTTGCAAGCGGAGATAAACACATGCCACAGCCAGTGACACGAAGCAAGGTTGATGGAGAGGTGGACCTGCAACAGGTTCTATCTGGAAGCCACGGTGGCAGTCTCATTCTGCCTTGGATGTTTGGAACTCCTTGAGGCTGTAATGCACAGAGGGCACTGAATTCTAAGAACTCCCGTACTTTCTGAACTTTTGCTCTCCTAATTCTGAGCAGTTTCCTTTTACAAGGTGACACATGCCACAGCCTGTGTCACAAACCAAGCTTGAAGCAGAGGTTTACGTGAAGCAGGGGTCTAGCTTGAAAGTTGAAGCTATCTTCCCACCTAGGTCTCCTCAGCTGGCTGTGCACAATGTTGTGCTTAGGGTTCCTCAGAATGCCCAAGGACCCTTAGTAGGAAAGCGTGATGCCTGGGAGTGTGAGTTGAGACTGTGCCTAGTCATAGATATCCTTCAGAAGAGAATCTTACCTCTGAGAATGCATTGAATGGGCAAGTGCTTTGGCCTAGTGTGGATATACCTGTAACCAGACCGTTCACCTGGGATGCAAATTCTGACATGTTCTGAGCACACTCCACACATCTCTTCCATCTCAACTTTGGAAATGGTGGCAGTAGGTATAAGAGACCGTGTATTGCTGCTTGCATGTGTCTAGTTGGGTATGTTCTATGCCAATATGCTCAGATGTATTATTATTTTTTTTTCCAGAATTGACCTCAAATACCGATGTGGAATTGAGCAGTGATCTAGGTATGAAAATAAGTGCTAAGGCTCCGCAATGACATGACGACAAGCTCGACTTTTTCACAATGCTATTGCATCCTGTCCTGCGCGCTCCCCCATGTGTCACTGAATTGTTCCAATTGCTGTCTCTCTGGAAATTTGCTTTTGTTTTAACCACCATTTTTTGACCTTACACCAAAAGTTCCTGTGTCCTGCGTTACTGCCCACGTTGCATCCTTGGCATCAGGTCTTCCCTTGGACATTGGAGACGTTATGGATTAACTGGAATGACCTCAGACACAATTGCAAGACCACATATCTTTTTCAGGGCCAAATCAATCTGGTTTCCTTCCTTCTGTAATATATGGTAACATTTAGTTATTTGTTTATCCCACTCGGCCAAAAATCCATTTTAGTGCTTATGTTGTTTTGTTTTTGGCATGTTTTCTGGTTGTGGACGCTGCCTTAGGGTGCTCCAGTAAGGTCAGTTTTGTTCTTCTGACCCTCCTTGAGAACTTCAAAAGTGGCCCCTTTGTCCCCCACCATCCTCAGGCCCAGCAGAGCCTTCATGGCAATCCTGCACATGCCATAATCCAAAATTTCTTGTGTCTTTTTCTTTCTGAGCACTTTGTGGTCAGTTAACTGAATTGCTGATTACACACTTTTGTTCTGTGCACTCCCCAGTTCTAGTGGAAATGTCTGCTTTTCAATAGCTTGCATTTTTCATTTTATCTGCATGACTTCCCTATCTTGTAGTGTGTTTATCAATGACTGTCCAATGGAGACCCTATTGAGGTATCAAAATTAGCCCCAAGGGCTAATGGTCATTTTTTGCTAATGACCAAAGTAACATTTTATATTTATTTTTATTGCAAAGTCAGATATACAGAGAGGAGGAGAGACAGAGAGGAAGCTCTTCCATCCGATGATTCACTCCCATTTGGGCAGTGCTGTGCCAATCCAAAGCCACAAGCTAGGAACCTCCTCCAGATCTCCCTCATGGGTGCAGAATCTCAAGGCTTTGGGCCGTCCTCAACTGCTTTCCCAGTCCACAAGCTGGGAGCTGGATGGGAAGCAGGACCACTGGGATTAGAACCGGTGCCCATCTGGGATCCCGGCAAGTGCGATGAGAGGACCTTAGCCACTAGGACTGCACTGGGCCACAATGTAACTATTTAAATTGAATTCAATTTCCTTAGCTTGGCTTGGAACAATGGGTTTATTTTTCCTACTTTCTGGATCATTCCATTTCCCGGTGTCTGTCTACTTTCTGAGTTGGGTAATTCGCAGGAACAGTCAGTTACAGAAACCAAGCTTGAAGAAGTGTTTTCTTTGGTATAGCAGCGTGACTCACTTTTTGAAGCTATCTTCCCACCCACATCTCCTCATTTGACTATTCATAAATTTTCCTCCCCACCTAAATAAATGCTTTTCATTCTAGGTTGTTTTCTTGGGTCCTCTTAGAACGCAGGGGAAAACTTTCCCACTTTCTGAAACCATTAATTTTGTAATGCTTATCTACTTCCTTTCCAATGGGAAATATACACAAACCACTGCCAGTGACAGGAACCAACCTCAAAGATCACATTGACTCGAAGCAGTGATGTGGCTCAGCACTAGAAGCTGCCTTTCTACCCATCTCTTCTTGTTTGCCTCGCACAAAATTAAACTGATTGAGTCTCAGAAAGGCCAAGGGTCCTGTGGTAAGAGATGATAATGACTGGGTGGAGATAAACCTTGTTTTTGCTTTCAGATGTGACTGGAAGACTATTACATGTCCATATATTGAGTTCAATTTGCTTTGATTTTCTTCCACAGTAATTGTGACAACATCCTTCATATGGGACCCATTTACATGTGTGGAGAAAGAGCTATAATATGCACTGAGAAAGCGTGACAACATAAGCTTGCTCAAAGCCCATATGGCTTCTGCACTTTGTACTGTGGGTTTCAGCAGGATGGACAGGTTGTGACGACTTAGAATATCTTTCATTGTCTGTGCCATTTTATGACCCCGACACTCAGCGCGACTTCATGCCAAATGTCACCAGAGTTGTCCTTCAATGCTTTAGATGCTCTGTTTCTGCACAGGAGGGATGGAGTTCTCTGGCTGAGACGGGTCCCTGTGGCATGAATGTCAAGGCCACAGTTTGGTATGGGCAATATTTTGTGGGGTGACACTGCCACTCAAAAGGCTAATTTGCATTTGGTGACTCAACATAGAAAATGCTTGTTTCAAAGTGGCTAAGTCTAGCTTCATTTTCATGAAAGTGGAGGGGGGCATTTCTTTCCACAAGCAGTAGTAAGTAGAGAATCCTATTTCTCAGAATGAGTTGAACGTGTAAATCAGCATGGCCCAGTCTGGATGATAAGTATGGATGGCATTGTGCTAGTGTGCAATTCATTGAAGTTTTCTGAGCATGATTCAGACGCCTCATGAATCTCAACTTAGGAGATGCTGATGGTAAGGTCTTTGAGACTGTATGTTTATGTTTCCAAATGTAAGGGAGGGGCTGTTGTATGTAGATGCACTTAGGTGATTTTTTTTTCTTTAGTATCAACCCCCAACACCGAGCTGAAATCGAGCATCCATCTAGCTATGGAAAAAGAGCTAGGGCTCCCCAGGGAGAGTGATGCCAAGCCCGAGCTTGTTTGGGGTGCATATATCATCCTGTCCTGGTCTCTGCCCAGTGAGTGACTGAAGGATGCCCAAAGCAGTCTCTCTGGGAATTCTCATTCATATTAAATACCATTTTGTGACCTTAACTTGAAAAGATTCTTTTTTTTTTTCAGAAGGACAGGCTGAGTTCCATCACAAGTTTCTGGAAGTGTACCAACTCTTCCAGGGCCATGGGCCATACCTATGTGCTCCTTGCAATGCCCTCAGAAAGGTGGTGCAGTTTAATCCAGGTGCCATCTCCCCAGGCTACACATTGCTGTGTGTACTTAAAAGTGCCTCAGCACACTGCCAGAAATCCATTTTTCAGCTCTAATGGGCTTCTGTTTTCTGGCTGGTACACTGACATGCAGTGGGTTCTGTTGTCAGGAAGTCCAGGCAGGCAATTTCTGCTTTCTGATCCTCCTCCATGCACCTGGAAAGGTGGGTCAAATGAACCCAATCAGACGAAACCCGGGAAACCCTTGATGGCAAGACTCAGCTTCCCAGGGGCTGTGATTCTTTTATTCTTCACCTTCTGAACTTAAGGGGGTCACTTAGCCAGATTCCTGATTCAAACACCTTGGTTCCTCTTCCAATGCTCAGTGCTAGCAGGAAAGGCTGCTTTTGCATCCATGTTGGCAGTATTGATGCATTCTAGCATTCCTCTTCTATCTGGGAAGGATGGAATTCCTTGATGGTCCCGCTCCCACATGGCATTGGCATTGAGGCAACCACTTTCCTCAGGTCCTCAGGCACTAGGGTTGTCTCTTAGAGACACACTGCAAAGACACTTTCCAAGACTTCAGGAATTCAATGTACCTCTGGGTATACATTGGTAACCTCCAAAAGGCATTGAGTAAGGATCTGAAAGCCCCCTGCTTCTCCTCGAAATGGCACATCTGAGCAGATGTTGGGACAGAGTTTGTGTAAATCCTATGTGACTCCAGTTTTGTATCATATATCCTCATGTGTACTGGACTTTGATTTTCTTCCTGAGGTCTTGACAAGCACCAGAGGAACCTGCATGGTGGGTGTCAGAGACTGGCAGGGAAACCTCCCATGTTCACTGTGTTCATAGATGCATCTGTTTCCTGAGAACACCATCAGTCTGCCGAGAGCTGTGTGCCTTAGCATTGTGAAATGCTTGTGATCATGACCCCGTGCCAGGGAGTGAGACTGCAGGGATCTTCCACCCAGGGGTGCATAGGCTGGGCTGCAGCTGTGAAAGTCTCCACCCAAGTGTCAGCTTCTTTTACTTCCTTTACTCCAATTACTTGAAACACCCACCTGTACTGAATTTTTAGAACCTGTGCAACCTTCCTCACCTGGCCACATTCCTCAAAGCTGTCCACTTGAGATGAATTTTCTGAGAGTTGCCTGCAGGTTCTGGAAAGCAACAGTGGTTATCCTTTCTTACTTGACTTTCACCGCTATCCAAAATCACATATTTGGGCTTATTGTTTTCTTTATTTCCTCTAGACCTAGTTCCTTCCTTCTACTTTTTAAAAAATATGGAATGGGTAGTTTTGAGGCACCAACTATAACCAACTATCACATTCCCCTTCCAAGAATGACTTGTAGATGAAATTTGATGAGGTCCGCATAGTATACTCTCTCAGTATGCTCTTGAAAGACTTAGCTTTAGTGAGACTCAGAAAGGCTTGAAAAAAAGAAAGAAAAAAGGAAGGGAGGAAGGAAGGAGGAAAGAAAGAAGGGGGAGAGAAAAAGGAAAGAATAGGAAAGAAAAGAAAGGAAAAGAAAAGAAAAGAAAAAATAAAGTCCACGGTGCAGAGGATCTTGATGGAATTGTTCCTAAGCAGTGCGATTCCAACGCACATTAGTCTAATCCTCATGTGAAATGGCTCCAGGTACATTAGAACAATCTTGATGTGGGATGATTCCAACATACATTAGCGAGGCACTTCCAATGTACATTAGTATCGACCTTATATGAGATGGTTCCAATGTACATTATGTGAGACAGGAATATTTCTCCATAAACCTCAAAGGAGATGTGCTTATAACCCAATATTCCCACAGCTAGGAATTCATTGAAATAAAAGGAAATAATCATGTAAAGGTTTTGGGCCCTGCGCTGTGGCCTAGTGGCTAAAATCCTCGCCTTGAACACATCAGGATCCCCTATAGGCACCGGTTTTAATTCCGGCAGCTCCACTTCTCATCCAGCTCCCTGCTTGTGACCTGGGAAGGTAGTCGAGGCTGGCCCAAAGCCTTGGGACCCTGTGCCCGTGTGGGAGACCTGGAAGAAGCTCCTGGCTCGTGGCTTCAGATTGTCACAGCACTGGCCATTGTGGTCACTTGGGGAGTGAATCATTGGATGGAAGAGCTTCCTCTCTGTCTCTCCTCCTCTCTGCATATTTGACTTTGCAATAAAAATAAATCTTCAAAAAAAAAAAAGATTTGCTGTATCCTCAAGTTAATATTAGTCCAATTCACAATAGCTAAGATCTGTTTTCAACTTAGATTGCTCCTGCACTAATTACTACATAAAAATGGTGTATACATAAAAATGTATATATACATTATGGTATGCTATTCAGCCATACAAAAAATAATTTATACAATGGAGAAAGCATTATACCTGGAGAAATTAGGCACTCTTCCTAAGCCAAATATATTTTCTAGGAGAGATTACAGTTAGCATTGAGTATCAAATATATGTATTTATAGGATAAATAAATATATACAGACATTTGTATAAATATTTGTGCATAAATATCTTTCTATATATAATATCAAATATATATATGAAGCATATTTGCAAACAAAGAACAGAAAGGAGGAACAAAGGGAATCTGAGGCAGTGGTCCTGGGAGGGGATGGTATCATGGACATGGACTTATGAATGTACCTGGGGAATCAAGGTTGAACAGCAGGTTTTATGTCTGATATTGTAATGAGTATGTCTCCTAAATATATTCTTAGGCAGCTTTGGGCTTGTCTGCAGTGGAACCAACATAACCTGCGTTGCAGTCTGAGCCAGTGTCAGAGACACTGACTGACCAAAACTTCTACTAGGGGAGGATGCCATGCTCGGTTTCAAAGTAGATCACCCCAACTTGTACCTCTGTCTTAGGAGTAGCTGAAGAGCTGGCATGACGCCTAAGTATTTTCTCCTGCCTTTCCTATATATAATTGAACATTTGATCAAGAACACACTTGCCAAAATGCTAACAACCTTCCCAGTTTGTATTGAAATCGTAAACCAGTTCCTGCTGAGGAGGAACAAGTTGTTGATGTGCAATTGGCATTGTGGTCCCTGAGCTCAGGCAATGGTGCTGCAAGTGCATGTTCCATGATAACAGATTCTGTACCTTTACTCTTCCTTGTGATTATGGTTTTTGTAAAGGGAAATTGCACTGTTTTCAGACAAAGATAACATCAGGAACAGTAGGGAAGCATGTGAGAATTTAAAATAGGTCTTTTTTGTCTTAAGGAAATGAAATCTGTGAATCATTTTCCAATGATATCTGTTGCTATGGACTGATTGTGATGAATCCAAAATCATGTAAATCCACTATAGACATGTATCTTATTTGAATTCAGGATACCTTCTTTGCCAGTCATCTGCTACTAAGAAGGGAGTGTTGCTAGAACAAGATATGTTTGGTTTTTGTTCACCAGAAAACTTGATACTTCAATGGTGGTGTGACACCGTACAGAGAATCATGGCTGAAAAGAAATGATGTCAGACCTGAGTGAAAAGGCGGCAGAGTCTGTTGCTGGGACATGTGCACTCCAAGCCTTTGCTGTGTCTCTTTTCATTCCCCAGAATTTCCTTTTCTGTCCTTTATCAATGTTTTAACAAAACCGAAGTGGCTGTTTTTTTCACACATGTTTTCATTGCATTTCCTCACTCCACTTGATTCATTTGGTCTCTACCCTGGGCGGATAGAGTTCCTTGGAGAAAATTGTCTCAGAGGCACATAGATTGAGGCAAGCACTTTCCTCAGGTGGTAGAGTGACAGTTCACAGTGGCACAGAACATGTGCAGCCTCCCCAGTTGGATGAATTCCTTGGAATTGTGCAGGTAGACCATTCTTCTGGGTTGAGAGTTGTTTTGTGTCCTGAAAACCAAGACAGTAGTCACCTGCTCTTTCCCTGATGCATCACAGCATAGAGTGGCATTCATCTACTGCCCAGAAACTTTCCTCTTACTTTTCTGGGTCTGTAAGGGGCAGTTCTTAAAACACAATGCAAAATCAGTAATGAATCCCATCTTCAAAATCTATTTGAACACAACGAGTGTTGTGGCTCCAAACTGGTTCACACCTCCTTGTCAGTTGCTCATAGAATGCCTTGAAACGATTTTTCATCATGGAGCCTCGCAAATGTCATGAGTCTCATTGAAGGAGACTGTGATGTCTGGGTGTATGAATATGTGTGATGCTGTTCTCAAATGTGGATATAGGTCTGTTGTCTGAAGATATACTCAGTTTATTTGTTTTACTTTTCCTTCAACAGAGATCCTGAACGCCACGATGGATTCAACCTCAGACTCAGGTATGGAAAAAGTTTGGATTCCCAGTGAAAACTGATGCCAAGGCTGAGCTCGGGTTTCATGTCTACCGTAACTCTGCCGCATGCCTCTTCTGGTTCTTTTTTTCATAGCTTGGCTACGGTTTTTAAAATTTATGTCTTTGACATCCTCAATGTATGCCATAGGCATAGAGGGATAGATTTTCTGGATAGAGAAGTGCTGTTCTGGCACATGCACTGAGACCCCCGAATTCTCTAGTGATTTACTCTGTTTCAAATGGACAGCTGCCCATTGAATGGCCACTCTACATGTTACCAGAACTTTTCAGGATTCCCAGCTATACCATTGATTCAGATCAGAGGGGTATTTCAGCGCTGGAGCTATGCATGTTGCTCCAATATAAAGAATAGTTTAGCAGTGAAATTAGAATGACAAGTGTTTAGTCAGAAACTCTAGTCCCTTTACCCTTTGTGTTCTAAGTGCATTCTACATCACTGACTTTTTGTTTTGGTCTCATAAAGTCTGTGACTCAATGGGATAATGCATGGATGTCAATGAACTTATTTTGGTTGATAATGAATCTATTTTCTGCAAATTATGGAGAGAGTTTAACTTTTTTTATTGAAAGTACAAAGGACAGCAGAACACAAATCTGATATAACATTGACTAGTCTAAGTACTCTTGTGAGCATGCATTAATGGATGCAAATCTGGGTGCTGATTTGGCTAATCCTGCCTCCTATGTTGCTAGGGAATGATGTGTCAAATGAACTTGGTAAGCCAGAGGTCTACGATGCCAAGCCTGAGTTGGCTATGGACCCAAATTATCTCCTAATCTGTGCCCTCTATTTCATGTGCTCACTTAGCCAAATCCCTTGTTCAAGCACCGTATGTTCTCCACCAATCCACAGAACTAACAATAAGATCTACTTCTCCTGCGATGTCGGCATTGGTGCTTTTCAACATTCTTTCTGCCTGAGAAGGATTGGATTCCTTAGTGGCCAGTTCCCACAGGGCGCATACACTGAGGGAGCCACTTTCCTTCCTGTGATGCTGGGGTTGTCTCTCAGTAGCACACTCAAGAGGCACTTCCCGAGACACCAAGAAGCTTGTTTTCTCTCTTTTTCTACTTTGGCTCTGAAAGCCACTGCTTGTGAATCAAAAATACACATCTGAGAGGAATTGGGGAAGGAGTTTGCATAACTTTCTTTTTTACATTGTATTATGCGACACAGTTCCATAGGTACTGGGATTCCTCCCACCCTTCCCATAACCCTCCCCCCATGGTGGGTTCTTCCACCTTGTTGTGTAACCACAGTTCAAGTTCAGTTGAGATTCCTTCATTGTAAGCATACACCAAGCATAGAGTCCAACATCTTATCATCCAGATAGGTTCAGTGGTTTCTAGGGAGACCTTCTCTGGTCTGAAGGCAGAGCCAACAGAGTAAAATCCCGATCGATCAAAAACCCCAACATAACATCAGCAACAGTATACAACGCTATGGTACTAATTGACATAGTATCGAGTAAACAATATATTGTAAATAATGCAAGTTCTTAACCACATCCTATGACTACTCCATTGACATTTCCACAATTGAGGTGCATAACCGTTATAGGAAGGGTGTGCAGAGAAATCTTCAGTACCTTGGTGAGGAGTACTTGCTCTGTGTCCTACCTAGTAAAGTATGTGTGAGTCCATGCTGACCAAGCTTTCCTTGTTGTTCTCCGTTTATCTATTCTGATTTGTGTGTGTGTGTTTGGAGGGGGGGCTCTGGAGCAACCCTGACAGTTGTTGCAGAGAGGGTGGAGACCCAAAGTTGGAACTAAGTAAGGACAAGAGAAAGCTTCTCTCCTTAGTCCCGAAGGAAGTTTACTGTTCTTTTGATTCCGAGGACTGCTCTGGGTTCCTGGCTGTTGTTCTGACGTCCTTGGATCCTACAAGGAAGATTTTGGGCTTCTTTCATCCCATGTAGTAGATCCAGGGCGGGGGGGGAGGGGCAGTGCATAACTTTCAAATGATTCCATCATTGCATTTTATCTCATGATCTGTGCTTAAGTTTGGTTGTGTTTCTGAGGCTTCAAGAAGCCTCACCAAGAAATCCACTGTGAGTGATTGATGCTGGGACGGCAAATCTCCTATGTGTGCTCTGATCCAGAGCGGAGTCAGTTTTCTGAACACATCCACAGACATCATGAGCTTTTCTGCGTTGTCACCATTACTGGGGAATGCTGCTCAGTGTCTGTTACTGGGACTGGACCACATCCTCCAAGCGTGAATAGGCAAGACCACAGCTTGGAAAGGGGTGCACCCATATCAGAAATCCTCTGTCTTCTGAGGGACTTAATGTAGTATTATGCATGGTTTCTTGGCTATTTGTTCTTTCTGCCTTATAGTTAGATGAAATACCCACTGTGAACTAAGTTGCCAGAATCTGAGTAACCTTCCTCACCTGACAAAGTCCTCAGAACTGCCTGCATCAAGCAGAAGACTGATTTTGCACTTTTCTGCTTACTATAACCTTTCCCTTTTCTATGTATTTACCTTTGTTCTTTAATGATGAAACTACACTGGTAAAAATGTGATTTTACTCATAAAGTTAGAAATACAATAGTGTATTTAAAGTAATACTTGTATTGCTCTGAAATGACCAAAATTATGAACTATGTTATCGTGGATAAGTTTCCATAAAGTGTGTCGTATGCTGGCAATCTCATAAACACCCACATTGTGAGGATGTCTGTGGTGTAAAGCATTGTGTTCTAGTTTCCAGTTAGTTAAACGATAATTGAAAACATCGTAAGAATTTATTTATCTCCAATAGTCAACAGATGATGTCCTACCAATATGGAGTCTGATGCCTTGTCAGGTATGTTGACTGAACAAATTATTTCAATGGCAATTGATGACTTCTGTCCCTTGACCTCTTAGTCAATACAGAGTAGTGTCAGCCTAGTTTCTTAGCATTTTCTTTCATTTTCCTTGGGCTTGCTTTTGTGTAACACAACGGGCAACCTTGTCAAAACCGCATGTTTGAGTTTTCTAGCTTCACTTGAGTCCTACAGCTTATACACAAGGAGGATGGCATTCTTTGGGAGAGAATTAGCCAAGAGGCCCTGCAACTGAGACTACACGTTGGCTTCATGTTTTTCTATCCCTTACTTGTTGTGGGACACTAAATAGGTATTTTCAGCTGCTTTTCCCCTTGATTTCTATCCCTTGTCTTTTGATTTATCAAAGTGTGGCTGTGCTGCCAAGTACAAGAATGTAATCATTGACAAAAATGTAAAATCGAAAAATAAATTTTGCATACAGGCTTGTTTTCTCCAAAAAGTATTCAGTCTAGGCATCAAATTCTCATCAAGCATTAACCATGTAGACTTATCTTTACTGTGTCTCAGAAACCACATGAGATCCACATCATGGGCCTATCAGGTTTTGATATTTTTTCACTGCCACTCAAGGTTGAAATGAGTATATTATCTTGAGCTATACTGAGAAAACGCCTGGCTTTGCTTTAGCAGAAGAAATTATGCCAACACTGACATCTAGACCAGTGTCACACAGAATGGCTGACCGAAATTCTTGAGTGGCAGATGATGACTGACCTAGAGTATGGGCCCATTCATGTCTCCTGTGCTCTATCTACTGAGTTTTAGAAGAGCACGGTTGGCATTATTCTTTAGGATTTTATTTCCCAATCACTTCTTTTGACCTCACAATAAGGACTACTTTTTCTCAAATGCTTGCATAAATTTTCTTACATTGCTTGAACTCTCCTGGTTTTGTCCATGAGGAATGGATGGGATTCCTCAGGAGAGCATGCCCCAGTGGAACCTGCACTGAGACAGCCATTTGCTTCAAGTTATTCAGTCATCGTCTTGCAGTTGCATACTGAATGGACACCTTCCAAGTTACCAGATCCATTCAACTAATCCATCTTTATCCTTTTGTGATATTATAGTGTAATCCTTTCTTTCTATACAAATAGCATTCATAGATAAAAATAAAACATTTTTATGGTGAATCCAGAGTACAAATGTGTTTTAGTAAAACATTTAAGTCTACCCATCATACCACGAACTATGTTAATTATTCCGCATGAAATATCAAAAGTCTAATGAAAATCTTCAGTATAAGTGTATGGTGCTGTATTTATTTTGCCACTGTCCTGTACTTAAGTGCATCTAGTTCTGTAAAATTTTAAAATACAGCTTCATTTTCCTGCAACAGAATGAATAAATCTCAATTAGAATCCCACCCATTGTTCAAGAATGGTGAGTGTACAAGAATCATGCAGAGAGAGGAAGTCAGGCCTGAGCTTCATCTCAGCATTATTCATGAGTCCCCTAAACTAAGACAACCATTTTGGCTTCATGATGAATGAGAAGCATTTTCCCTCAGAAACTACTAAAGCCACGAGCCTTTTTGCATTATATACAGTTTACTAAGCTGATCTTAAGGATGGCTTAGAAGACGAGTAATCTGCAATAGGAGCCAGTGCTCCTTGGATATTGAATGATTTATTTTGTTCCCATCAGAAGTGCAGCTGGGTCTGATATGTAAAAAGTATCCTGACAATTTTTTTTTCTTCAACAGATCATGTAATATGGCTACCAACATTGATCCAGAACCAGGTATATTGAATGACCCAAATCTCCTAATATGAAACAACGCCTTGCCTGACCCTATAGGAGCCCACATTAGTCACCTGTCCTCTGCCCTCTTAGTTACTGAAAAGCTGATTTACCATAAATCCAGGAGATTAAAATTGTTTTCTGTATGTTATACTCAAAGGATTATTTTCCAGCATGTTTCACTTTTCTAACTTTACTTGAAACCGCAAGTTTCTATCCATTAATGAGTTCCTTCTAGAGAATCAGACATGTGGCATCTGGACTAGCTCTACTGTTAACTCTTCATGTTTCCCTGACATTGGTTTTCAGTAGAACACTGAAATTGCCGTTTGCAAGCTACTAGGTTAGTTTTTATGTCCTCATTCTTTGGCTTTTGCAAGGAGTAGTTCTTGTGCTCAGGATACACTGTGACATTGAATAGAAAATTTAAAAATGTATGAATAAGTATGCAATAGGAAGTTGTTTTGTTCCAAAAGGTATCATATCTATGCATTATTTTTCATCAATTGTAATTTTTTCATCAGCCTGTCTCCAAGCTGAATTGAATACCTTCTTAAAATTCTCATCATGTGTATCATGAGTATATTTTACTGTGGCCGAATTATTTTTTTACTTCCCTCAGATGTTGATATGAGACTGTTGCCTGAAAATATATCAAGAAAATAGCTTGTTTTTCTTCAGCAGAGGGAATCAAGCAACACATGCAAAGCAGAGACACTGAAGTGTAATGAATGACTGGATTATACAGTGAGATGGGGTCAGCCTGAGTGTAGCATAGGCCTGCCCATGTCTACTGTCCGCTTCCTTCAGAGGTGCTGAGGACTGAAGCGCACAGTTGGCATGATTCCTTATTATTATTATTTTTAATTTCCTATATACATACTAAGGACTACTTTTTTCTAGAATGATTTAAGACATTAAAAAAAAAAAAAACTTTGCTTTAGCATCTTCTGTTTCTGTCCACTAAGAATGATGGAATTCTTTGATACAAGGTATCTAAACTAAAACAACCATTTTGTTTCAAGTTATTTTATCATTGTCTCACATTTGTACATTGAATGGAATCATACCAAGCTACCAGATCCTTCAGTGGATCCCTGTTTTTTGCAACGTAACATGGTAATCACAGTGTTTTCTCTAAATATAGTATTAAAAGATAAAAACAATCAATGTAATGAGGATTTTGAATATGAATTCATTAGGACCAGAAAGGATTAAGTAACTTTTTTTCACAACTTGTTTTTTTTTTCTGAAATTTTCTGTATGAATTCTCAGAACTCCCATGAATATCCTCAGGATGAGTGTTGATGTTGGGTTTATAACAATCTGTTTTTTACTCTTTGTTGTGGAGTCTGGTTTGTAAAACTGTCCTCAGAGAGCTTTAGTCATTTTTTTCTTGGATGGATTAATAACACCATTCCCAGATCTGATCCACACTGAATTTCAGTGATTGACCTGGGCCTTCTATTTAGAGGGAATCGCAGGAGTGATGCTGGCATGCTCACTGCCACGTCTTCTGTCCTTTGTCCTGTCAGTCACTGAAGGGCCCATTTGGCATGATTCCTTAGGATTTATTTCTTTACTTTCCCTGTAACAGTTCTAACACAAACTCCTTACACTGCTGATTATTGGCAATGGTTTGATATTCCCTTCATTGCTTAGAAGACAATTTTGGAGGAAGCCCTTAAATCAAGATTCAAGATGCCTCCACAATCTGAGAAGATTATTAACCAAAGCAATCTTTCGTTTTTTCCTTCAACAGAGAAACAACCCAGCCACTGGGAAACTAAATGATTTGCAACAAGGCTCAAGAAATCCTACTAACTGAAGACACATCTAGTATGGGGCCACACAGCTCTTCAAAATATTTTCTGCATAGTCAAGTTTTATTATTTTTCACACTTCTGTATGACTGATTTTCCTAAATTGCAATATTAGGCCAGCTACTTTAGAACAAAATGCAAAATATTCAAATTTAGATGAAATTTATGTCCAGAAATAGCCAACACGTTTGTTAATCAACTGCATAGGAATCACCACAAACTGAATCACCACAATTTCTTTTAGCATTGATAAACTTCATACAGAACTTCATGCAGTAAGAAGCTGTTTGTAAAATACCAGCTTAATTATTTTCACACTTTAGTTTCCAACATTATTGTTCAAGGGGATTTTACAGTTCCTACATTTCAATTTCAAGATAAAGTAATAAAATATATGATAATGAATTAAAGACATGAGAAAGTATTGGTACAAAGCTTTAAATCTATGCATTTTCAGTATGTATTTTTGTAAATTTTTTTCTGACCTTGTCTCAGAATATAATATGAATATGAGTATTATATTCTGAGACCTTAGAAAAAAATTTATGAAAATATATACCACAGAAATGTATGCATGTATTTAAACAGTTTGCGCCCGTACAACTCATGCTTAATTTCATTTTCATGTTATTTCACTTTATCTGTTAATTTTTTGTTTTGAAATTTTTGTTAATTTGTAATTTTTAAAACTATATTTATATACCATTCATGAACTGATTGACATCCCCATGTCAAATAATGACTTAAAATACCATTGAAACTGAAGATTAAGTATCAATATTACAAACCATTTCATCGGCAAATATACCAGAGATATTAAGTAAATATTGCATGTGAAAATGTCAATACAGTGGTGATTCCTAGCCAACATTGGAAATACTTGCTAACTGAACAATTTAATATTAAATATCCAGAGATCTGATACCTAATTTATTTTCAGACAAAAAAAAAAAAGAATCAGAACATCTTACTAAATACATCTTCTGAATTTTAATTCCTGGAATAAATTCATCAATTTGAAAATAATTTATCAAATATATGAACTAAAAATCTTTGTTATATAAGTCACATGCAGAAACCCAAAATGACTTCTGTAAAAAGTATCATTTATAGACATGTCTGTGATACAACTCCCTGGAAATATTCTAAGTCATAGCAGTTTCGTGTGACATTAGACAACCTGGTGACTATCCTATATGTATTCATGTGAATTTCCAAAATCTGAATGACAGAGCAATGGTACCATATTTATTGAAAATAGGGTACTGCTCACTTATACCTATGTTGGCATATACCAAATTTGACTTGTACCTACTTTGACCTACTTAGAAAAAGGATTTTAAGAACAAATTTAACAACTAAAAACTGAATGAAAGGTATTCTTAAAATCTTAGTTCCTAATACCAGATTTTACGACCTATAGAGATGACCTGTACATTAAACAGGTAGAGGAAGACGTAGGACCGACGTTCAACAGCAACTCATGCGTCCTATAACTACTTTAACTATCATATATATGTATTCCATAAACACATTTTATGAATCCACTATAAATCTATTCATACTAATTTTTCATCATAACAAAGAATCTGTTGATTCTATGTCATGTCAAGCAATAATACTGCAAAGTACATAGTACATTTTTATTTGAGAATATTTTCCTTGATCTACCTTTGAAATTCTAGACTTTATTCTGAATTTTTTGTTCACACAATAAAGATTGTTCATGACTTACTGGCATTGACAATTTTGTTTGCTCGTGATTAAAGCATGCCTAGGTGCCCAGCTCAGCTGGGTATTTCTGGTCTCACTGGGTCATTCAAGGCCCTGCAGTCAACTGACAGTGTCACCGGGGTACTTTGCTGGTCTTTCAGCTGCCTTTTTAAAACATCTCTTGATGACAGCATGTTTGCCCTGCATTCTGTTTATGGAAAAGGAAGAGTTTCCAGTAGCAAGAGATGTCACTTTTCACACTTCTGCTTGCTTTACACTGGCCAAAGTTCAGCGGTGCATGGTGGAGCTAAGATTCAGTGAATGACGGAGATGCATAGAGCAGATACTTCTTTTAAGTTGATTCCTCTCTACAGCTGCATTAGCCCCACTACTCCAGTGTCGTCACTGTAGATTTGGAAAGGCTCTGGATTGTGCACTCATTTGGAGGAAGGAACCAGCAAGTGGAAAGTCACTCTGTTCCTCCTTAATTCTTAAATTCTTAACCCTTAAATCAAACATTCCTGGTTTATTTTAACAGACCATGTTGGAAAAGTCATGTTTTTCAACATACATATTTCCCATGTACTGACTGAATAACCTTGAATAAATACATAAGATGTCATTCAGTTGCTTACTAAACAACTGAATACAGGGTTTTTTGACATTTAGGAACATTAGTTTTTTTTGTGACATATATTTATGTGAGTTCTTCATACTTATACACATAAACTTGGTGAATTTTCAGGCATTCTGTAGAAACCAGCAATGGGTGGAGTCAGGTGGTGTGGGGTGGTGCGGGGTGGTGTCCCAGGGGGCCAAACCTCAGCCAGCCTGCCTGGTGGATGATCTGTATGGGTGATGATTCAAATCCTGGCTGCTTCCCCTGCAGCCCAGCTCCCTGCCACTACTCATGGGAGAGCAGCAAAGGATGGTGCAGGGGCTTGTGCCCTTGTGCCCCTGTGAAAGATCTGGAGGAAGCTCCAGGTTCCCAGGCTTGTCCTGGCCCAGCCACAGCTGGCTCTGGTGGTGGTCCCTGGGGAAGCGTGCCAAAAGATGCAAGAAAGATTGTTCTGCCCCCTCTGTGTTCCTCTGTGCTTCAAAGCCAATAGGACAGAGGCAGGCAAGCAGGCAGGTAGAAACAGAAAGCTGCCGGCCTCCTGGGAGGGAGCATGCTGTGTGCTGTGCTCTGGCTCTAGACCGCTTTTGACTGCCAATATAGAACCCAAGGGCATGTGTAGGGCTTATGTTATGGCACTCCTGTGCAACTTGTAAAAAGAATGTCCTTGAGAGGGACTGCCTTTGTGGCTGGGCTGCTTCCCTTGATCTGGGAGGAGAGGCCTGGAGGAGCGTCCTGCAGTGAGCGCTATTGGCCACGAGAGGGCGCGCAAAGCTGCCCTTTGTATCCCGGGTGGACTCAGGCCTTCTGAGTGCTAGACAGCCCAGCCCTGAGCCGCCCCAGCGTCA